CATTATTTATTAATTAACTTCTTACTTAGTTATATAGTTGAGTATTTATGATTAGAAGTTATGTAGATCAAGATGTCATACATGAACTTAGTTGAATCCTCTCTTCCCCCCTTTTGTAGGTTGAAAACATGGGTCGTGTAAATTACGGGCCTTTCATGTTTGATAGGAAGGTAAAGGACATCTGAAGTTGATGCTGCTGCGCTAAATGTTTGACTGTAATTGGTTGATGTTTGTCCCAACTTCTACAGGGCATTCTGTCTTCTGTTTATCTGGACGAGGAAAAAGTAAAAGGGTGGAAAATGTTCCCTATTCCTTTGCACAACCTGAATGAATTATCAACCTACAATCCCATCAATATATTTATATATATATTTATATATCTTTTAACAAATTAATGCATATCTTGTACTATTTATCTCTCTTATTTGATATATATTTTTCTTTAAATAATTAAGTGCATGTTCTTTAAAGAGTTTATAATTAATATATTTTATTTATAAATTAAGAAAACATACATTAATTAAAAATATTTTAATATAAAAATGATTAATAGATGAGATAATATGAATTAAGTCTTTATATAAAAAAATATATTATAATTTAGATGTTAGAAAAAAAAAAAGTAATACTCTTTTTGTAAAGTATCAGTGCTCTTCCTAATAACTAATTTATGGCACAATACTTTATTGGTTATTTTTTAATGGGGCTTCTTCTTCCGATATTTTTTTTCATCTATAAAATTTAAATAAAAATCTTATTTTTTTTAATTCAAATATTAATAACATCATTAAAATCCATTATCTTTTCCCAATACCTATTAAAAATATACATTTGAAATCATTTATCTTTCTATTAAATGTACAACTAATTAATACAAATTATTAAATAAATGAAAAAATAAAGTTGTTGCTCCCTTTATTCCAACAGTTATGGTGACAACAATATAATAGTGGTGGTGATAACATAGTGATAGCAACAATAGTTATGATGACGATCATGAGGGCAACACATAGGGATGTCAAAGGAGTGGGACAAGTATAGGTAGTAGCTCCATATTATTTACCTCGTTGGATAAATATTTATCTTGTATCTATTTTTATATTTGTGAGAGTATTTATTAAGTGAGTATTTACGTATTTTTTTAACATCCACAAGTATTCACAGTATCCATGAATATTTATTTAAAAGAAATAGATAAATTAAAAAAAACATTTTAATAATATTTTTATTTATTCTAATAATTTCTTTAAAAATAATAGTTTAAAACTCAAAATCTGAATTATTCAAATAATACACAATTTCATTAATCAAGAGTCTTCAATTTAAAAACTAAATTTGATTGTTAAAATATTTCATTCTCATAAGTTTAAACAAATTTAATATGTAATTATTATGTTTGTTTAAACTTATGAGAATGAAATAATTATTAAGTTTCACAATTTATGTATAAAAACTTAAAGTGGCTATAACAAGAATAATGATAAATACTACAATAATTGATAAAAATATATATGAATTTAAATATTAATAAGATCATCAACGTTTGTGGTCCAATTAGTACAGTAATTGATCCGATCCTCAAGTCTCAAGGTTTTGAATTTAAGTCATAAGTTTTACAGACAAACGATCTTGAAAAGAATAATCATAATGTAGTAAAGGTCTCAACTCTTAAGAGACCTAGAGACATTCTTACATATCATCGTATAATAAATTAATTAATTAATTAATATATAACATCGCTAAATCAATTGTCCTTTTAGAATACCTAATAAAAAGTTTGCATTTAAAAGCTCTCATTCTATTAAACATCTCACTAATTAGTAATCAATACTACAATTTATTAAATAAATAAAAATTTAAAATAATCCTTTAAAGTTTTCTTATTTTAAGAAATTTGTTTATATTTCAATAAAAAAAATTAAACATTTTTTTATATAAATTTTTATAAAATAACAATTTTAAAAATCACTAATTTCAGATAAAAATTAAATTTATATATGATAAATAAATATATAATAACTAGTAAATGAATACATGAATTCAAATATTAATAACATATTAAAGGGTGATTTACACTCATTTAATGAGTTTTTTTTTATATTTTCCATTTTCTTATGTATTTATTTTTATTTATGGAGGCAGACATATTTTTTTATTATTTATATTTATACTATCTTTGTTCATATATATATATATATATATAAAAGATGTGGTATTCAATTAAGACAATTAAATTTTTTTAAAAATATATAAAAATTTAATGATATTTAATTAATATAATCATGATTTTTTTAGAAATATGTTAAAATATGGTAGTATTTAATTAAAAAAAATTTCACTTAAAAAAATTTATTAGTATTAAAAAATATAGAGATTTCAATAAATTATTTTAAAAAATGAGTTTTGTTAGACTTTTTTTTTAATATTAAAATTTATATATAATTCATTCATTCAATAATTTTATTAAAATCTTTGAAATTTTACATGATTTTTTGTTTTGGCTATTTTTACTCACTTTTTCCTCTCTAGCTCTCTCTCATTTTTTCTCTCTCTCTTTCTCCCTTCGCCTGCTCGCTTCCTCTCTTCTCAGATTTTATCTATCTCATATTCTTTTTATTGTTTTGTTCATCTCTCATTAATTTCTTTATTTTTTAAAAAATTGATATTTTTTTGTTATATTTTATCTATCATTATTGATGTATAATTTATCAATATTTGTTTTTTAATTATTAATATTTAAAATTATTTTTTTAATTATTAAAATTTTAAATTATTATAATTTAACAAATGTTTATTTTTAATAAAATTTAATATTAAAATATCAAAATTTTAAACATACATTAAAAATATATTTTGACAACTCTATCGATTAATGAATCTCATAAATTTAAACATATTGTTCAAATTCAATAATGTGAATGGAAAAATATAAATGTATAAAAAACTGTATATAGAAAATATTAATTAAAAGATCATGAAATAAGGACCAATTATTTATTAAAAGATTTAAAAATTTATTAATTAATTTTTAATTCAAACATTGTCATTTATGTTATTTTTTATTAATTAATTTTTTAAAAAAAGTTTTATATTATCCTTTGAAATTTAATAAAATATTGAGATGAAAATCCTTTAACATCTACATTACAAAATTTTGATTCTTTTTTAAAAAAAATATTAAAAGTCATTACATTCCTAAAATGTATTTTTATTCAAATTTTATCATTTATGTTATTTTTTTATTAATTTTATTATTTAAAAGAAACATATTATCTTTCAAAATCAAATGAAATCTTTTAAAATCTTATAAACTTTTGAGATCCAAATCTATTAAAATCTATATTACAAGATTTTGATTAACTTTTTTTTAAATCATAAAAGTCATTATATTTTTACAAAGTTTTTTTTAAAAAATTCAATCCAATACACCTTCCTTAATTGACAACAATAATTTTGTTATATATATATATATATTAAATTAGAAAGATAAATAATACAATATATATATATATATATATATATATTTTAATTAGTTAGAGTGCATGTTCTTTAAAGAGTTTATAATTAATATATTTTACTTATAAATTAAGAGAACATACATTAATTAAAAATATTTTAATATATGAGATAATATGAATTAAGTTTTTATATAAAAAAATATTTTAATTTAGATGTTAGAAATAAAAAAAATAAAAAAAAGTAATACTCTTTTTTGTAAAGTATCAGTGCTCTTCCTAATAACTAATTTATGGCACAATACTTTATTGGTTATTTTTTAATGGGGCTTCTTCTTCCGATATTTTTTTTCATCTATAAAATTTAAATCAAAATCTTATTTTTTTTAATCCAAATTATGAACTATCTAGATTAGCCAAGTGGTAGTATCTACAAAATTTAAAGTTCTAACATTTGTCATCATTGTACAAAACAAAAACAAAAATGAATCACGAAACTATGGGTTTAGATTTTTTTTTTTTGACAATTACTATTCGATATTAATTAAAAATTGAAAAAGTCTTAAATATTTTTTTCCTGTGTTAAAAATATAAAATTTATTATATACTGCCCTGTGCTGATTAAATTGAAGGTATTTTTTTTAGAATTACTTGAGGGGTGATGATCAAAGAATTAAAATAAATATACGAAGACTTGGAAAGAGTTTATTTCACGGATTAAAGTCAAGATTATGGTATTGGGAATATCATATTTTCTTGTTTGTCTAAAGTTATTTGTGAATATAATTTATTCTCGAGAAAATAATTATACCATGGTTTACTTTATTTTTATTCTCATGGTAAAAAATAAGAAATTGTATTCTCGTAGAAATATGGAAAGTTATATTTTTATAAGTTTTTTATTAAACTTTTGTTTTATTAATTTAAAATCTAAAAATAATTCTGAAAATATTAAAATGTTACCAAACACATTTATAAATATTCCTTAAAATAATATCCTAAATGATAATATTCTAAAAAAATGTGATTGATAAAAATGGAAACAAATAGTCCCTGAAAGGTTAGAATAAAAGAAAATGTTGTTTCCATCGTAGAATGGATCGAATTTGATGTCCCGAAAGAGCAGGGGTAATAGAATTGCAATTCCAAGCCGGATCCCGGTGGCCGGTTGCCCCCACACCCACGTACAGATTGGAATTGGAAGCCACAAACAAATCCACCACGTGGTCTTCTCTTACATGTCTGAGGTGGACCTTCCAAAATTAAATAATTAGTGAATTAAAAGAAAAAGAGTAATGCAGCCTGACAAGTGACAACAATCTATATAATTTATTTCTCTTTTTGGAATTATTTATTACATTTAATAATGACTTTATAAAAATAACAAAATAAGAATTATTTTACTTGGCCTCCCCCACTATTTATACTCTCCATTTCAGTTTCTTCCCCGCTTCACTTT